GTCACATACACCAAAAACTATTTGATGTGACACTAATTTCTGTTACAGATAATTACATCAGAATTACCAATATTTTTACGTGAACATTGCTGTTCAAGAATTTATAGCACTTCTGCTTATTATCTAGCAAAATCGGTTGCTGAAGTTGGTTTTTTTTTCTCCGAAATTTCAATAATTTTCAAGGAAAAAAATTAAATTAAAGGAAAAAATTTAATTGAAGTTTGATTTTGATAAGTTTTAATTTTGTTTTAGCTTCCAGAATATACCATACTTCCATTTTGTTATGCAATTATTGTGTATTTCATGAGCGGTAAGTGATAATAAGTTTTCGTTCAAAATTTATGCTTAGAATTAAAAATTCTCCAAAAAAAATTTTTTTTTGAAATTAATCTTTTAATAAGATCATATACATTACAAAAGTGAATGGGTTAACAACAATAGTTTTGTAGTTATCAAACATCAATGAAAAAACAATTGATTGTATTTATAAATTCGCAATGATCATATTGAGATTAATTTCAAAATTAAATTTCATACTCATTTCAATTTACAGGACTTTATTTGGCACTAAAGGCATTTGTCATCTATTGTACAATAACTATTGTAATTACAAATTTAGCAGTTTCAATTGGTCGGTTACTTAGTAAATTCCTTATTAAAGCTTTTATTTTTGATGTTTGAAATTTGAAGTTTGCAGTTTTTGAACTTTAGATTTAAAAAAGAATTTGAATATCCTTAAACAAATGTAGACTAACGCTTCGAATTCACAAGCATGAAGTTTCGAGATATTTCGGGAATATTTCTAGCATGTTGCTGTTAGATCTGTTTTTTAGTCATCCACATGTTAATCAAACTTTTCTTCCCTTAAAAAATATGCTTACACATAGTTAGTTGATTCGCGAGAAATATTCGTGACACTTCATTGTTAAATCCAAGTAGGAATTGAAATGCCAATAATCAAATTAATTTCTAAATATTTCAAATTCTAAAATTCGAAGTTTTACATTGAAATTACCTTAATTCATTGTTATAGCTAGCCAGAACAATAAGCTGTCCCCAAAATTGACCATGCGACAATTTTTCAGCATATGCTGGTGCCTGTATTTTTGGAAAAGATAGCCTAGCCCTTACCTATATGCCTTGCTTTATTTTGCCTAATTTGGTATTCGGTGGCTTTTATATCAGTTTCCATTCTATTCCTATTTATTATCAGTTCCTGTCATATATCTCCTGGTTTCGTTTTGGTTTTGAAGCATTTCAAGTAAATCAATGGCTCAATTACAAAGTGATACCTGGTAAATCGTCCTTTTCCTTTTGTCACTAATTGTCACAGATTTCGAAAACAATGTCAACAAAATGATTCTTCTTTAAAATCAATCTCAAATGAAATATGAAATGATTTTGTCATGTAAAAAAAAAAAAAAATTTCCACATACGTTAATACATATATTTTTACTCTTTAGAAATTATCCAATCATCTTAACATACAGAATTTATAACATCTTTTGCTCACATTTGAATTTTTTTTTTTTCAAAAAAAACCTCATTATTTGGATCATTTCCTTTTTACAAACAAAGATCATTGATCAATGAAGTTTGATAATTAGTATAATTTATATTTGAAATTAATGATTTCTAATTTGATGATCATAGGTAATTCATAAGAGTACCAACGTGGCGAGTACAAAAAAAAAAAAAAAAAAGATTGGACGGGGATTGTTCTTATCAATGTTTGATAAATAAACTAATACTTTAAAAGTTTTGATCAAACTAACACTTCAAAAGTTTTGATTTTAAGAATTCATTATTTTTGAACCTTGTATTCCGTGCTATAAAAAGCTGAAGCGGTCTTTGATAGTCTTTGGTCTCTGGTCATATAAAGTAGTCTTTGGTCAATAGGTAGTTTTTGATCATGAAAAGGCTCTGGAAATTACTAATTCTAAATTATCCGCTTTATCAATTTATTATTCTTACAAATCATATTGTAGTGAAATATAAATATCCAACCAGGCAAAAAGTTCCTTTATATAGCTGAAAACAATAGGTCATGTCTTTCCAAAATTTTTCCCAACTCTAACAACATTTGCTTTCTAGGATGTGACATTGGTACACCTGAGATTGCTAATTATTGTCCAGCATTTACGGGAGAAGGTGTGCTGGTACGTCGAGGAATGAATACATCACAGATTGTTATTCTTATCAATTTAGCCATTCTATTTGCAATGTTAATTGGTTTTCGAATTATTGGCTTATTAGCATTACTTTTAAGAGTTCGATTAACCCAATAATTTATTTGTCTAATATTATTCAATTCATGCTTATATATGAAATGCTTAAAATATTTCAAATTAATTTTTTTTTTGATACGAAAATTTTTATAATATAATAAAATTGCTTTCGTTGAAATACCAATAACTTTTGTTAAAGTAAACAATTTTGCTGATAACTTTACTCATCTATCAATGAAAATTTATGCTAAGCCTGAAATACGTTTGTTATATCCCATTTGTTAACATATAATTTGCTGTATCAATGTGACTTTTATATGTGATTATAATGATAACAGAAAATGCAGAATAAATTGATTAAAACACTGATATACTGATAAACTTGTATCGAAGAAACCAATACTACTAGATAACTTTACTCATCTATCAATCAAAACTTATGTGAAGTCTGTCGCAGATTCTTATTGTGTTTTACTAGCTACCTTTGTTGATTAGTGCATGATTTATATCACTAAAATTTTACAAGTGATAACAATGATAATGAAAGGTAATTCGATGCAAATTCTAGTAGGTGCAGAGGATGATATTGCTACTTTTAGTGGTTGATGCATGATCTGAATCAGTTTGATTTCAGAAGTGATAACAATGATAATGGAAGTATTAAGTAATTCAGTGAAAATTTGAGTAAATGCAAGTGATCATATGATATGAATTGTCGAAACATGCATATTAATAAATTAATGTAAGAAGAAAATTTGAATAAATTTAAATTGGTATGCATAAAAAGTGGGGAAAAATGTTGCATAAAATATGAATATTGTAAATGTTCATTAAATTATCATTAATTAGGTAATTAGTAGCATATAAATAGATTATTTGAGATAAAAATTTCATTCTTCATCTTCATATCTGTTGTGATTGGGTTGATTAATGGTGTAAAGTTGGTAATTTCATGATGAAGTTTTATAAAATTTGCTCATTTTTCACGTAACGGTTGAGCATTTACACGTTTTGGCAATAATGGGTAAAAGTCAAATTACTCCATCACCGTAATATTTACCTGTTAGTGAAAAGATTAGACATACACGTGACGTGAAAAGAAAGAAGCACAAAAAGTAATAGTACTATAATAAATATCAATTCATAAAATCGTTTCTTTAAAATATGCTAATTAAGGGATATTATGGTTGATAAAACATTAGCAGATGAACAATACTACCATGGATTACTACCACGTGAAGATATTAAAATGATGTTACGTAATAATGGAGAATTCATCGTTCGAACAACGGAACCTGTTGCTGGACAGCCACGTGCTTTTGTCATATCCGTTATGGTAGCGGAAGAAAAAGAAGAGTTTGGGGTATGACATTTGTCCTCTTTTATCAAATTATTTAACTTGTATCATGCTAATCCTTCATCTCAGGTACTTTTTCCTTTTATCAAATGATAAGAGCACTTGAAAATTCATTGATTTTAATATACGGAAAGAGGCGAGGATAAGAGAAGGTGATGGAATGAATACAATTTGCATAAATTTTACATCTTTAAAATATTTAATCATCCTATGATAATATAAGCAATAATGATTAAGTAATGATTAGTGATCGACAAAAAAAAAAAAGAAATTAATAATGAATGATCCTTTTTTCTTATCTGATCAAAATTTCATCGTGAAAGAAATCCTTTTATTTTCAAATATTTCATCGATTTATCTTTTAGAACATTTGATATAATTATCAGGTAAAAATTTCAAATTTAGATTAAACACTATGTAATACAACGTACTCCAAATGGTAAATATACAATCGAGAAATATGGTTTTGATAGTGTACCTGAAATGATCAATTTTCATTTAAATAAACATGAAAGTTTGGTAAAAAATGCTGAGGTATTCCTGACAACACCGATAATTCGTCAAACATGGGAATTACATCATGAAGATGTGGAACCAACTAAAAAATTAGGCGAAGGAGCTTTCGGTGAAGTACACCTTGGACGTTTACGACTTCGAAATGGTCGTAAAGTTGATGTCGCTATTAAATTGGTATTTTAAAATCATTCTTTATCATGATGATATTGATGTTGATAATGATGATGATGATGATGATGATAATGATGATACAATGTATTTATTTAATTATATTTAATACATAAGAATCATTATTAATTATCGTTTGATAACAACCTATCATAATTAGTATAGTTTTATAGGCTAAGTTAGAAACACTTACTAAAGAACAGATCAAAGAAATTATGAAAGAAGCTCGTTTACATAGAACATTTGATCATCCTAATGTATGCAAATGTTATGGTGTAGCTGCTGGCCAAGAACCATTAATGATTGTCATGGAATTGGTAAGATTATGAATTGATAAATTTTATAACGGAATGAAATTAATCTCCTTCCTTTTTTCGTGGTAAATTTGAATTTTGTAAATAATTAAAATT